ATAGGAACATTCATCTTGCGAGTCATCAACCCCATCGCCAAAACCATTCGTCTTGCAAGTTTTTCGTCCCACGAGGCATTCGTCTTGCAAGGCTCCACTGTACATATGTTTAATCAGAAGCAAGTCCCACTGAAATCAATGGAACTTAGTCCCTAGGATTTGGGGTTGCAGCTGGAATCTTCTGACACAAGATGACTTTGCCTGTATGTATGTATGTATGTATGTATGTATGTATGCATGTATGTATGCATGCATGCATGTATGCATGCATGCATGCATGCATGCATGTAATTTTTAAATAATAATTTTACCTCACCTTTCTCCATAAAAGGACCCAAGGCAGTTCAAAACAGAAAAACAGTTCTCAAACCAGGGTTTTTAAAGTTTTAGCATAGTAAAAATAACTTTTTTTAAAAAAATCCAAAACTTTAAGATATAACGATAGAATCATAGTGAAGTTGGAAGGGGCTTATAAGGCCATCAACCCCCTGCTCGATGCAGGAATACAAATCAAAGGGTATCTGCCAGGTGGTTGTTCTTCTTGAATGCCTCCAGTGTTGCACCACTCACCACCTCTCGAGGTAATTTGTTCTACTGTCTTAATGAACAGGAGATTTTTCCTGATATTCAAGTGAAATCTGGCTTCCTTTAACTTGAGCCCATTGTTGCGTGCCCTGCACTCTGGAATGAACAAACACAGATCCTGCCCCTCCTCTGTATGACAGTCTTTCAAAAATTTGAAAAATGTTATCATACCACACCTCAGTCTTCTTTTCTCAAGCCTAAACATGCCCAATTCTTTCAGTCTTTCCTCATAGGGCTTGGTTTCCAGCCCCTGATCATCCTTGTTGCCCTCCTCTGAACTTGTTCCAGTTTGTTAGCATCCTTCTTGAAGTGTGGTGTCCAGAACTGAACACAATACACTCAAGGTGAGGCCTAACCAGTGCTGAATAGAAGGGGACTAGCACCTCACAGGATTTGGAAACTATACTTCCGTTAATGCAGCCTAAAATATCATTTGCCTTTTTTGTAGCCTCATCACACTCTTATATTCAGCTTGCAATCTATGACAATTCGAAGATCCTTCTTGCTTGTAGTATTGCTAAGCCAGGTATCCCCCAACTTGTAACTGTGTGTTTGCTTTCTTTTTTCCTATGTGCAGTACTTTGCAGTTATCCCTGCTGAATTTCATTCTGTTTTTTTGAGTCCAGTGTCTTCTTCTGATGGCTATCTAGATCATTTTGAATTTTGTTTTTTTCTTCCAGCCATTCCACCCAATTTTGTGTCATCTGCAAATCTGAGAAGCATTTTCTGCACTCCCTCATCCAAGTAATTAATACAAATGTTGAAGAGCACTGTGCCCAGGACTGAGACTTGGGGTACCCACTTGTTGTTGTTTAGTCATTAGGTTGTGTCTAACTCTTTGTGACCCCATGGACCAGAGCACACCAGGCCCTCCCGTCCTCCACTGCCTCCCAGAGTTTAGTCAAATTCATGTTTGTTTTATTTATTTATATGCCACCTGTGATGAGATGGAATATGTGATTAAAATCTTGTATTGAACATGGGTTTTGTAATTAGGAAATGCGCAAGAGAGGTTCCATCTTGTTTCTCAGTATAAAGGATCTTTGCTATGCTGACAGGGTGTTTGCTAGTGAGAGCTGGGAAAGTGCTTTTCTGAAAGCATGAGAAGAAATATTGTGATAAGATAGATGGGTTTTGTTGTGACTCGGGGCAAAACCACAGAAACCCAAATAACATCTGTTAGCCGTGAGAAGGAAGGTCAGGTGGTACCGCAGGACTGTTTGCCTAACGACGGATTGTGATTGGATGACATCGTGGGAAGGAGCAGATAAGGATTTACCAGTTACTCTTGAAAAAGGAACTTTTACCTATGGTCAATGTCACTCGTGACTCACTCTAATGTCTTTCAGGACCAACCTTTAAGTCATGAACTACTTTTAGGTCACTCATGGCCTACTCGCATGGATTACTCATACACACACACAGGGAATATTCTTGACTCCTTTCATGGACTATTTCTATGGACTATTCCTATGGACTATTCTCGTGGATTATTTCCAGGACAATGGGATATTTTCTTTTACAGGATTTTTCCTTTTGTACAGGATTTTTCATTTACAGGATAATGAAGGACTCTGGACTTTTTCTGACCTAATTGGATTATTTTGTTTTTCCTGATGGATTACCTGATTGGAACTGTTTTTGTTATTTTTCTTGACTTTTTGAATTATTTTAATGTTTTTGGACACTTATATATTTTTCATGTTTTCTTTGCTTCACTACAGTTTTGCGATTAATCAGCAAAAAATTTAATTTCTTGCTTTTGCATAACTTGACTTTTACTTTAAGGAACTTACTTTTTCTTTAATAAAATAATGATTATAAAAATCAATTGGTTTCCTAAACAGTAAACTTGTCTTAGGTCATCTGATGGTGCATGCCTCGGCCTTGCATATTTAATGAGTCCTGCCTGTGGTGCACAGTATGTCTGATGACTGACTACAAAGCCCACATGGTTTTCTATCAGTAATATTCAAGGGTACAAGGGTGTTCTTATTAGGGCAGACTTGTAAAAAGGAGGATTGACACGCCTAGCTGAGCTATGGGACTCTCTCAGCACATTTTAGGGTGTACAATCTCCTGATTACTCTCTGTCCGACTGATCAAGCATCCTCTTGGGGAGCTGATTGCTGACACCGCCCCCACTACCCAAAGGTCTCTGGGTGGCTTACAACATTTTTCAGAGTTTCGCGGGTAGAGAATAACTCAGAAGTGGTTTCCCCTTGTAGCTTCGATGACATTGTCCAACCATCTTGTCCCCTGTCATCCCCTTCTCCTCTTTCCTTCACTCTTTCCCAACATCAGGGTCTTTTACAGGGAGATTTCTCTTCTCATCAGATGGCCAAAGTATTGAAGCCTCAGCTTCAGGATCTTCCCTTCCAGTGAGCACTCAGGGTTGATTTCCTTCAGAATGGATAGGTTTGATCTCCTTGCAGTCCAGGGGACTTTCAAGAGCCTCCTTCAGCACCACAATTCAAAAGCATCAATTCTTTGGCGGTCAGCCTTCTTTGTGGTCCAGCTCTCACTTCCATACATTGCTATTGGAAAAACCATAGCTTTGACTATGTAAGGTGATGTCTCTGCTTTTTAAGATGCTGTCTAGGTTTGTCATCGTTTTCCTCCCAAGAAGCAGGTGTCTTTTAATTTTGTGGCTGTTGTCGCCATATGTCACCATCTGCAGTGATCATGGAGCCCAAGAAGGTAAAATCTGCCACTGCCTCCATATCTTCCCCTTCTGTTTGCCAGGAGGTGATGGGACCAGTGGTCATGATCTTATTTTTTTTCATGTTGAGCTTCAGACCATTTTTGTGCTCGCCCCTTTCAACCTCATTAAAGGGTTGTTCACTGTAATTCCTCCTCACTTTCTGCCATCAGAGTGGTATCATCTGCATATCTGAGGTTGCTGATATTTCTTCCGGCAATTTTAATGAATCAGGGTTGGGATTCATCCAATACAGCCTTTCTCATGATGTATTCTGCATATAAGTTAAATAAGCAGGGAGACAATATACAGCCTTGTTGTACTCCTTTCCCAATCTTGATTTTAAATAGTTCAACTGGAATGCCATCACCTCCACTGGCCTTGTTTTTAGACAAGCTTTCTAAGGCCCACTTGACTTCACTCTCCACGATGTCTGGCTCAAGGTCAGCAACCACATTATCTGGGTTGTCCGGGATAGCCAGGTCTTTCTGGTATAATTCCTCTGTGTATTCTTGCCACCTCTTCTTGATGTCTTCTGCTTCCTTTCTTGCATTTCCTTTTCTTTGGGATAGTTTTTGTTGCTGCCTCATGTACAATGTTACGAGCCTCCATCCATAGTTCGTCAGGCACTCTGTCCACCAAATTGAGTTCCTTCAATCTGTTCTTCACTTCCACTGTGTATTCATAAGGGATCTGGTTTAGATTATACCCGACTAGCTGAGTGGTTTTTCCTACTTTCTTCAGTTTAAGCTTGAGTTTTGCTCTAAGAAGCTGATGATCAGAGCCACAATCAGCTTCAGGTCTTGTTTTTGCTGACTGTATAGAGCTTCTCCATCTTTCACTGCATAGAATATAATCAATCTGATTTTAGTATTGCCCATCTGGTGATGTCCATGTGTAGAGTCGCCTCTTGTTTTGTTGGAAAAGAGTGTTTGTGATGACCAGCCTTTTCTCTTGACAAAACTCTATTAGCCTTTGCCCTGCTTCATTTTGAACTCCAAGGCTAAACTTACCCATGGTTCCTTTTATTTCTTGACTCCCTGCTTTAGCATTCCAGTCCCCTATAATGACAAGAACATCTTTCTTTGGTGTCAGTTCTAGAAGGTGTTGTAAGTCTTCATAGAAATGGTCAATTTCAGCCTCTTCAATATCCATGGTTGGTGCATAAACTTGGATTATTGTGATGTTGAAAGGGCTACCCCACTTGTTACCTCCTCCCAATTAGAGAAGGACCCATTAATCATCACCCTCAGAGTACGATTCTGTAGCCAATTGTGTATCCACCTCACACTTGATCTATCCAGCCCACACCTAGTTAGCTTGCTCATCAGGATATCATGGGGCACTTTGTCAAAAGCTTTGCTGAAGTCAAGATATACTACTTCTATCAGGGAGGTCACCTGATCAAAAAATGAGATCAGATTAGTCTGGCAGGATTTGTTCTTGAGAAATCCGTATTGGCTTCTAATTATTACTGCATTATTTTCTAGGTGCCTGCATAGTGACCATTTTATAATTTATTCCAGAATTTTCCTTGGGATTGACATCAGGCTGATTGGTCTGATTTCCTAGGTTCCTCTTTTTGCCCCTTTTGAAAATTAGGACAATATTAGCCCCCCTCCAATCATCTGGCACCTCACCTGTTTCCCATGATTTCATGAAAATAATGGACAGCGGTTCTGAGAGTTCTTCAAATGAAAAACAAATATTTTACCTTTCAAACCTTTGATAGAGTGCCAACAGTACATCATATTTTTTCTTTAGCCGTGAGGTAGCGCTATCCACTTTGGTACTAAGTGTGTCCATGTTGACATCCATTTCTTTAACCAAGTACATAAATGTGCACACACTGCAAAGAAACGTAAGAAAAGTAACAAAAAATCTTTTTGAATCTAACACCTGGAAAAATCAAACAGTAATTCAATAGATATAGCAAAAATTCATTACTATTTATCCCAAAACCCACAATTCTGCAGTTTTTGTGGCCAACTATTTTCAGGTAGCCAGATATAAAAAAGAAATACGATTTGAAAATCAGAGATAAGAAGACTGAAGCTTATGACAGTTCATTTCTTATCTATGTTGAAGCCATGGAACAGCGATGGTCCCGAAGTACTGAACCAGATGAACCAATGAACCAGAGGTTTGTGCCCATCTCTACTTTCAAGCTATCATATCACTGCATCCTTCTACAGCAACTGTCTAAATTATATGAGTGTTACTCTTCTGTGACTGGATGGCTGCCTTCAGATGGTGGCACTGGGGGATTTTTCTTCATTGTGGCACTTGATTCCATCTGTTCAATAATAGCAGTTCACTTTTTATAGCTTTTACATTTTTACATTTTTAATTGTTCTACTGTTAAATTTTGATTGCAATTTCCCATGTGTTCATGATTGTTGTGTCAAGGTAAGATATAGATTTAGATACAGATTTAATAAATAATTGAAACCAATGGTTATATCATCTATATGTAGATGACATGCAATGATTTCTCTTTTTCATTCCAACCAAAGCTATAGCTCAGTGGGTGTGCTGGACCAGTGCCTATCCGTGGCAGTGAACTGAATTAAAGTTAAGACATTGGAGCTGAATCCAGACAAAACAAAGGCACAGCTAGGCACTTCATAGTGCTTAAGCACTGCAGTGCTTATAACTGTACTTATGATTATATTTCTCCTAATAAAGCACACTCATAACTTACGGCAGCTTTTCCTGTGTTGGGGCCCTTTAGTGGGTTTGGACAACAACTAGTATCAGTTATGACCTCTGACAATGCTGATTGGTGCTGAGGGAAGCTGAAATTCAAAACATCTGGAGGAAGACCATGTTGGGAAGATGGTAACTTCCATTATATCCCTATCATGTAACTGCACAATTGGGACACTGTAATCCACGATAAATGGGCCTGCCTTTCAAGTAGGTTCAGTGGGGCAGAACATAACAGTGAAATTGTTAACTGAGATTTTGAACATATTGCATCTTTCTTACTTATGCTGTCTGCCAGTTTGTTTTTGGGCCAAATCTTGAGTGCTAAATTTTCACTCACAAAACTCTCAATTGTACACATAAAAGAAAACATTTTCAACAGGTTCACCAGCAAAAGCCCATGTTAATTGCCCCCTTAATCTGAGGTATGGAAGGTTGCCATGAGGGGGCACCTCAATTTCGGCAAAGATCACATGAAACAGTCTTACCAGGCACCACTTTTCTGTGACAATCTACAACATTTTTATTTTAGTGGATCATTTTAATGATCATGTGAACATTATTTTATCATTCTCTGTTTACAAGTCCTTTCCAAAGAGCAGGAGTCCTGTCAATAATTTTCAGCTATTCTCCTAGTGTGTGTGTGTTCCGTGCAATCAAGTAGGAGCCAACTTATAGCAACCCTAATAGGGTTTTCAATTGATAAAATATATAAGGAGTGGTTTTGCCAGTTTCATATCCCAGTGAGTTTCCATGGCCAAGTGGGGATTCGAACTCTGTTCTCCAGAGTCCTAGTGTGTCAATCTATCCACTACACCACTCTGGGAATCTCCCTACTCCTTATTCAACTATTTTCCCCCACTTTTCCATAATTTTTGGAGAGTCCTTCTAGAAAAGATATTTTAAGGCAAGAGGCTTCAGGAACAACTGGAATCTCTGAAGCCACCCTCTTATTTCCAATGAAAGATTTCACGAACTGAACAGCACCCTGAGGCTAGCCCCTTGAAACCTGTGACAGTTTGGGTCCTTCCTGCGCAAGCTGAACTGTGGCACAGATAGGATGAGATATTTATGTAAAGAAAATATCGTGCTTTACATAGCTGTGCTCAAGAAGACATCTCAGACCAAGAATGATTATCATCCTTTCCCCTTTAAGTGTCCCATACCACAGACCATCCTATTCAGGACAATCCCTCAGCCCTCATGAAAAAAAATTAACTGAACTACTTCTAACTCAAATATATAATTTCATTATTTAAGCTGGAAACGGAGAATGTCTAACCCTCCATGTGTTGCCTGGACTAGAAAACACAGCCAAAGAGGGGGTAATAGGAACTGCAAACCAAAAAAATCTAAAGGGCAACATATTTCCATTCCTGATTAGAGTTGCAATCTTATTTAAATATACTAGGAGGGTGAGCTCCACCACAGGAGGATTTCTTTTCAAGCAGAGGATTGTGGACACATGCATATACACTACATACTTATGTTACGGCTGAAATGCTATTGCACAGCTCCACATGCATCGGTAGAAGCAAACTGCCACTAATTAAAGGCTTCCTTTAGGGATTTTGGAGTGCATGCAACTTCATTGCATTGCGTACAGTCAAAATTACTGTTAATCAGCTGCAATATGCTAATCATTTATGTACACATGGGACTATGCAACAGGGTTTTAGTCAATGTGTAGTGTTGCATCATCGATTTATTTGCATATAACAGTGGGGGCCAACCTTGGGCAACCCAAGTGTTCTTGGACTGCAATTTCCAGAAGCCTTCAACGCTGGCTGGCCGGCCAGGGTTTTGGGAGCCTAAGTCCAAGAAAACATGGGTTACCAAAGGTTGGGAACCACTGACATATGCCTTTTAACAACCATTAAACATAGCTGATAATGTAATACTGAAATTGAACATTTTTCAGAAGAAAAGATAGGTTTAAGAAAGAAGGCAGAAAATGATATTTTATAATGGGGACAGATAAACGATATCATTATTAGGTTGGAGGTCTCAGCAAGTGAAATAGTTTTCAGGTGATTCCAATAAATTCAAAGTTATACAATCCCGTGGAGAGCACTCTAGATTCTGGGCATTCAAAAAAAAAAAAAAAAAGGCCAGTACATGATTGCCACTTGCCAAAAGTATCCAGAGAACAACAGTACATGCAGGTTCCTGGAAGGAGCAAAATCATCTCAGTATCTATCGTATTTTTCTGTGTATTAGATGCCCCCATGTATAAGTGGGGCTTAGCAAGTGTAGGGGGAAAGGGATAAAAGCGCTGCAGAATCACTTTGAACCCTGCTTTCTCCTCCACTTGTTTTTGTTCTCTCCTCAGCTTACTTCCTTGTATAAAACGACCCTCAATTTTTAGTCTAAAGGTTTTAGACAAAGTTATAGTCTTACACACAGAAAAATACAGTAACTTCATATCCCTTAAAGCAGAGGTCATCAACCCCCAGTCCACGGCCCGGTGCCATACTGGGCTGTGAAGACAGACCTCCTGCACGCACTCCCCTCCCCACAGCTGCTCTGCACATATGCGCTGGCATGAACACTCCCCCACCGCTTCATGCATGCACCCAAGTGCCTGTGCAAAGGGGTGTGCGGGTGTGCAGGCCCCCCTGCACATGTGTGAATGGGTGGGAGAACTCTCACGGCGGTACTGGCAGGCGGGCACTCCCTCACCACTTTACACATGCACCCAAGTGCCCGAGCGAAGGTGTGGGCGGGTGCCTGGGTGTGCATGCAGGAGCCCCTGCACATGCACAAAGGGGTGGGGAGCACTCACGCCGGTGCTGGCAAGCGGGAGGGCACTCCCTCACTGCTTCGCACATGCGCCCAACTGCCTGAGTGCCCACGCGAAGATGTGGACGGGTGCATGGATGGACGTGCAGGCGCCCTTATGCATGCGTGAACGGGTGGGCGAGCGCTCACGCTGGGGGGCCAGCACTCCCCCACCACTTTGCGCATGCGCCTGAGAGCACGCATGCACCTCCACGCACCTGCAGGGGGGCACCTACTTCAGAGGCTCAGCAGGTCCATGGTCCAAAAAGGATGGGGACCGCTGTCTTAAAGCATTACTATAAACAATAGTAAGAGGCCCATTCACAGTAATCAGTAACCAAATCCACAACAATATTTACATATATTTTGTTTTTACTATTGTCATCTATTGCACATCTATTAAACAGTAAAAATCTCAGCTAAAATAAACATACCTAATATTTAAACATTTCAGAAGTTCTGTAAATGTGAAAGTCACCTCGTCCAAGTCTACTGCTGCTGAAAAAATACAGATCCCACACAATTCTTTAATATGGCCCTCCTAGAAGAAAGAAATAGTTACTGCAACAAATATTGGGAATAAGAAACAGGACAGTTGTTTACCTATCTTGTCATTTCTAGTGACTTATTAACTATAACTGAAACAAGCAGCTAACTTCAGATTAATATTTGCTTGTTTTTCTTTCTAGTAAGGACATACTCAAGAATAAATTATTCTGCTTGTGGTTAAAGAATGCTTTGGTTTTATAAAAGACGTCTGGAAACTATATAAACCATAACCCTCATTTCTCCAATACCAGCTCTGGTGGCCCCATGCCCATCAATCAGTTGAGAAGCAAAAGTGGGCCACACAAGAATAAGATCACGTTTTCTCCAAACTTGAGGAACTAGCCAAATACAACATCGTCGTTGTTGTTTAGTCGTGTCTGACTGTTTGTGATCCCCATGGACCAGAGCACGCCAGGCCCTCCTATCTTCCACTGCCTCCCGTAGTTGTGTCAAATTCATGTTGGTTGCTTCGATGACACTGTCCAACCATCTCATCCTCTGTAGTCCCCTTCTCCTCTTGCCTTCACACTTTCCTAACATCAAGGTCTTTTCCAAGGAGTCTTGGAAACATATTATAAACTAAAAACATATAATACAACATATTATAAACTAAAAACATTTTTACACTGCAAGAATATTCAGGCTTGCACCTCAGTGCCTTCTAAGATCTACATAATATTTTATAGTGATTTTATTAGTGGCAAGAGAAGATTTATACACTAAATGGGGGACAACAAGACTTTTGTATGTCAATTATAAAGTACAAGTAACATGGGGGTCTGGTGGACAGCGGTAATGGGGAGAGCATACAGGCTACTGGGTTCCAGTACAAATAATGGTTCAGCAGTTGCCAGGCAGACATAATTAACAAGAATTCATTTGTGCCACATTTGCAAATATCCTGGATTATCAATAAATGCAATTGTCTTAATTTCATGGTACAAGTTGTTCCACAATTATATTTGGCTCTCTAGAAGCCCAGTCAATAGATCAGCATTATTTATATACACAGTTGCGCCCTGCTTTACGATTGCTCCGCATTACGACAAAACCGCATTACGACACTTTTGCGATTGCAAAACGATGGTCTGAATAGGCTTTTTTCGCTTTGCGATGATCGGTTCCCTGCTTCGGGAACAGATTCTTCGCAAAACGACGATTTTCCTACAGCTGATCGGCGGTTTCAAAATGGCCTCTGGGTAAATAAAATGGCTCCCTGCTGTTTTCTGGGACAGATTCCTCACAAGACAGCCACCGAAAATGGCCACCCTATGGAGGATCTTTGCTGGACGGTAATTTTTTAGCCCATTGGAACGCATTAAACGGGTTTTAATGCGTTTCAATGGGTTTCTTATTTTCGCATTACGACATTTTCGTTCTACAGCGATTTCGCTGGAATGAATTAACGTCGTAATGCGAGGCACCACTGTAAAATAAAAGGTAACCCCTCTTAATTTTGCCCTTCTTTTCTGTTGTGTTCATCAAAGTCTCTACACTATTCTTTTCATCAGTGCCGACTCCCACACTGTTAATTCAAGAATGCATAACAAGTTTACATGTTTCCAGTTTCAAGCAACTTCCAACCTAGCCACTGCAAGCAATAAAACTAAAAACTCTGTGTAGGAGCTTTCCATTTACTCCAGTGAATACTGAAAACAGAAGTTGTGCTCCACAAAGTAGTATAAGTGCTATATATCAGTGCCCAATAATCTGCATCAATAAGCCATTCAATCACACACACAAGAGAGCTCCCCCTAATACTCTCTCCAACACCGTGGTTTATAATTATTGTCAATATATGAACATTCAACAGCCTTCAGGTTCCAGAAATACATTATTTTATCAGTAGTTTCCTTTAGTTTTGCTGATACAACCTTGAAATGCAGTGATTCCATTGGTCATCTGAGATGGCAAGTCCCAGTGTATCTTTGCTGCAGCTATCTCTTCATATTTGTCACCTTCTGACTGAATCTGAAATTTGCCTGTCACAAAGCCAGCCTAACCAAGTGATATATTTTGTTCTGAATGAATGTATTTGTTTTGCAAACATGGAAAGTATTTAAAAATCTTAGTTAAAAGAGACAGAGGGCAGCAACCTTCTAGTTCAGTATTGCCACCATGTAGTCCTGGTGTTGTGACCCTACATGCTGCCATCCATGTGCCAATGGATCTCACAACCACTGCCCTTCAGTTTATATATGGAATAAGGATTTCATTCAATGACTATAAATTCTGCAAAGAAGCCATAAGCCACGTTGGGATTTTTAACAATTTTCTATTTCTGTAATCTGAGCCTCTTGTAAATTGATTCTAGGATTCTGATGTTCTTGCTTGATCTGAGTCAATAAGATGTTGAGACTCATTATGGTCTTTTCTTCATCACATATAAGATAGCAAAGACATAAAGGAACAATTATTCATTTGTTTATTAGGTAACTGTAACTATACCTGTACCTTTAGGTTTAATTATTGTTACATAATTTCTGTTTGCTTTTTTAAAGAAGTATATGAGTCTTTGTTTTCAAATTTGTAATGTTGTTTTTTTAGTATGTATTATGGATGTCCAGAAATGTTCAATACTAAGAATTTGTATTGAACATTTCTGGACATCCCTAATACATACATAAGAATTTGTAGCTTGGCTCTTCTGCTAGCTTCTTGTTTTATGTTACCTTCCACAGTGCAAAAAGGCATATTATTTCAATAAGTGGTTCTGCTCTAGCTTTCTCTTTGTTTTTTTAAATTTTATATCCCTTTTTAATAAAAAATCCTCAGAATCACAGAACTGGAAGGGACCTTATGAGTCATCAAGTCCAACCCCTGCCAAAGCAGGATGACTTTTAAAAGGCCTATAACAGAGACACTGATGTTTCAGAGCCTGTATTCTCATTGCAAAATGATTTAATATTCTTACAAACTGGAAGAATGTGACTTGCTGCTAGAATTGTAGCATAACCAGGGATCTCTGCTGATTACCCACTAAAATGAGTATTTGCTAAAAATCAGCATAGCCCTGCCCAAAGACATTGGCACTAAAACCATGAATGAAAAAGGCAGTAGAGTGAAAAGATATAGAGTCATTAAGAGTGTTCAAAAATTAGGAGTAGATACCGTATTTGCTGGCGTACAAGACGACTTTTGGCCCTGAAAAACATGCCTCCAAGTGGGGGGGTCATCTTGTACGCCGGGTGCACTTCCAGCAACCCCCCCTCTCCCAGCGAAGTCACTTAACTGGTAGTAAGACCGAGTAGACCGAGCCCGCTCCTCCTTGGTAGCCTGGGAACAGCCTGACTCTAGCACCGAACAGCTGACTGTTGGGAACAGCAGAGAGGCGGCAGCCATTTTGAGATGTGACCACATGGCTGCTGCCTCTCAAAATGGCTGCCGCCTCTCCAAAATGGCTGCCGCCTCTCTACTGTTCCTTCTTCCAGCAAACCCTGGCTCTCTCCGAAAAGGAACCAAAAGGGGCAAAAGGAACTCACCCCATGATGCAGCCAAAGCAGAATCACGCATGCAGAAGAGGAGGTAGTCTTATACAGCAAGTATATAACAAACACTACATTCTGAGTGGGAATGTTGGGGGGTCGTCTTATACGCCCAGTCGCCTTATACACCGGCAAATACGGTATGTTGTTGTTACAGGAGACTCATCAAAATGAGAACAAGAAAGAGATAATTAAGCACCCAATGTTAGGTGAACAATATATCACAAATGGAACAAATAAGGCTAGAGGGGTGGCAATAATCTCCATGAAGAATTCAGAATTTGAAGTGACTGATTATATGGGAGACCCTGAAGGCAGATATGTTATAGTAAAAGGAAAATTGGAAGACAAATTATTAACTAATGGTTCTTATTACGCCCCCAACATAGGTCAAGCAAATTTTATGCAGAGCTTTTTACGAAAGGTAAAAGAATTTGCCTGGGAAGAAATTATCCTAGGCAGAGACACAAATTGTATTTTAAACAAAATCAATACAACATCAAAAAATAGAAAGGTATCAAATGATGGTAATAAAATGAGGAAGCTAATAGATCAGGTTTAACTGATGGGTGGAGATATTTAAATCCTAAAGTGAGAGAATATACATATTTTTCTAAAAGTTATTGTACCTATTCAAGAATTGATCACTTCCTTATTTCAGAGACTTTGGTCTCAAATCTGAACAAAATACAATCTGCCCCAGAGATAGCCTCTGACCACGCACCATTAAAACTTTCTTTGGTCAATGAAGCAAAGAGTAAATCTAGAATTTGGATGTTTAAATATAGAAATTATTGGAAAAATAAAGAAATTAAAAATTTCTATGAAATAAATGATACTGCAGAAATAAAATCAGCATTGCTATGGGATTCCCTAAAAGCCTACCTAAGAAGAATTTTTATTATGGAAACCTCTAGCCCCGAAATTAAAAGACGCCTGCTTCATGGAAGGAAAGCGATGGCAAACCTCAACAGCATCTTAAAAAGCAGAGACATCACCATGCCAACTAAAGTCCGACTAGTCAAAGCTATGGTTTTTCCTATAGTGATGTACAGAAGTGAAAGCTGGACCATAAAGAAAGCTGACCGCCGAAGAATTGATGCTTTTGAACTGTGGTGCTGGAGGAGGCTCTTGAGAGTCCCCTGGACTGCAAGGAGAACAAGCCTATCCATTCTAAAGGAAATCAAGTCTGAGTGCTCACTGGAAGGACAGATCCTGAAGCTGAGGCTCCAATACTTTGGCCATCTCATGAAAAGAGAAGACTCCCTGGAAAAGACCCTGATGTTGGGAAAGTGTGAAGGCAGGAGGAGAAGGGGACGACAGAGGATGAGATGGTTGGACAGTGTCATTGAAGCGACCAGCATGAATTTGACCCAACTCTGGGAGGCAGCAGAAGACAGGAGGGCTTGGTGTGCTCTGGTCTATGGGGTCATGAAGAGTCGGACACGACTAAATGACTAAACAAAAGAAAAAGAATAAAGAAAGAACAAAACAAGCCTCCAGAACA